TATATAAACCGTCAAGGGGGTTTGCGTTCTCTCCAGTTACACATGCTGGCTCGCAAGCTGATACTATGGAGCTGCGGGCGTCTCCTTTCTCTGAGAGCAACGCACGTACCGGGGGTGATGAACCTCGGAGCGGATCTGTTGTCCAGAGGTGCACCACTATATGCAGATTGAACTCTGCATCCAATAATTGTGAGTCAGTTGTGGATACGTTACGGCCGAGCCGCGGTGGATCTGTTCGCGTCAGAAGAAAACGCTCAGTGTCAGCTGTTCTTTTCAATGCGCTGTCTAGACGCACCGTTAGGCGTGGACGCCCCTGGCTCTAATACCTCCGACTCTGGCCAGAGTGAGAGAGCATCGCCACACGCTGATCCTGATAGCTCCGCACTGGCCGGCAATGTATTGGCTGGCGGAGATATATCAGCTGCTGTGCGGGAAGCCGACATACTGTCTCAGGTGGGGGGGGACGATTTTTCACCCCCAACCGGAACGCTTGGCACTGTGGGACTGGCCCGTGAGTGGTATAATTTGAGTACAGTGGGGCTTCCTCAGAAGGTGATAAACACTATTCAGAGTGCAAGGGCTTCCTCCACCAGGTCTCTTTATGACTTTAAGTGGAGGGTATTTGAGGAGTAGTGCCTCCAAAAGGGACACGTCTCTTTTCAATGTCCTGTCGGTGTGATTTTGTCATTTCTGCAGGACTAGATTGATAAACACAGAGCTTTCTCTACGATTAAAGTGTACCTGGCTGCTATTGCTGCATGCCATGTGGGTTTTGAGGGAAAGACGGCTAGCCAACTTCCCTTGGTCTGCCGTTTTATGAAAGGGGCTCGCAGCCTCCCTTATGGGACTTGGCAGTGGTTTTAGATGGGCTCACTCGACCTCCATTTGAACCCCTGGAAGAAGTTGACATGAAACACCTGTCACTGAAGACAGTGTTGTTGCTGGCTCTGGCATCCGCCAAGCGAGTCAGCGACATTCATGCGCTCTCTGTACATCCTTCATGCATTCAGTTTGCCCCGGGGCAAGCAAGAGTGTTGCTGAAGCCTAACCCTGCTTTTGTGCCCAAGGTGGTTGGCTCATGCACCCCCATTGACCTTGCGGCATTTTCTTCACCGTTATGTTCTTCTGAAGAACAGCGGCCGAATTTGCTGTGTCCAGTTCGTGCCTTGCACATGGACAGGTCTAAAGAGTCTCATGCAGTGACCAACTCTTTGTATCCTGGGCTAACCCTCATAAGGGCAAGCCCGTTACCAGGCAACGACTCTCCCACTGGATTGTGGAAGCGATAGCTCTGGCTTATACGAGTCAGGGTTTGCAGGCACCAACGGGCCTGCATGCTCATTCTACTTGTGGCCTGGCTACGGCCTTTGTTTAAGGGTGTTTCCATCCAGGACATTTGTGCGGCAGCAAGCTGGTCTTCACCGCTCACTTTTGTCCGTTTTTACAGATTGGATGTCTCTGCTCCAAGTGTGGCCCATGCAGTGCTGGGCCCCGTGTTGGGACAGAGTTCTACCTGTTGAGTACTGATTTTTGGTGATTTTCATGTCTAGCACTACGGGAGTCTCAATATCCCATAGTGAGACATTGAACGAAGTGTTATGAATGAGAACTATAGGTTACTAGCCCCTAACCCCAGTTCTCAGAGTAACATGAAGTGCTTCTTGCTGAGGCGAAGCGAGAAGAGGTGCTTATTTTGAATGACGCTCCGTCGTAGCGCTAGCTACTTAAAGGGTGGGTGGATTCCCTGACGTGGTCGTCAAGAGCACCAGCCAATCAGGATTGGCGTAATGAGATTGATGCTTCTGAGGCATACCCCATAGTGAGACATCTAACTTCATGTTACTCTGAGAACTGGGGTTACGCTAGTAACCTATAGTTTCTCCCCACAGAAAAAACACAATGCCTGGGGCGGGTTGCCGTTTGTTGACGTGAATCCCATCAAAGCATACGCCTCCTGATATTGACGGCATTTTGTTGGCTCAATTTTGGCTTTCTTTTTTTCTCCATTGTCCACGTTCCCTGCTGTAGTGCTGCTACGTTTTTAACCACGATTCCATTTCAATGTCTATTTGTTATGTAAGGGATAATGTGCAGCGAGGCGGTCATTATGGGTAAAAGAACACCCGACAGGCAGATCAGGATCCCGACGCGAAGCGGAGGGATCTTGAATACTTGTTAAGCCCGAGAGACCCCGGTACCGGGGCACTGCCGCAACATCTTGCAGGAAACAGTGTCTGAGGGCATGTTCATTTAATAAACTATGAATATTTTTATATCCATGTAACGGGAAGAAACTCATCTAACTGTTAATTTTTTTTTTTTTTTCAAAAGAAAACCCACAATGCTAACACTGAGCCTCTGAATTAGCAAAGAGCGAAAAATGCTAACACCTTACTGCACCGAAAATCACTCACAAAACCTTATTATTTATCTCTTCTCCACATCCATGACATCGTTTCACATCGTGAGGTGACACAGAATCGATGGACACCCACATTATCACTGAATTATACGAAATGGCGACGTTATAAGCAAAAACGGACATCAAAACAGGTGACGCTAGTTAGCTAAAAATGCTAACATTTTTACCTTGGCTCTGTAGTCTCTCCAAAGTGGTCTTCAATGGCATTAAAATGATAAAAACGCTGCTGAAGTTAATCCATAGGTTAATCCAATGTGTCTGTGTCCCTTTGAAATGATTTCTGCGAATCCATAAGCATTAAAACTGCTTTTCCGTTTCCAGATGTCAAAGCTAGAGATACTGTAGGTTCACTCTGATGCTAAATTACATGCGCGAAGCCCCCACCTCTTCTCTTCACAATGAGTGTGTGTGGGGCACTCCCCCTTCGATTCTATTGGCTCTTACGGTCAGAAAGAGGTGTCAACCATCAAAATCTAGCAAGGGAAGCCAGAGATATGGAAAATCCACCCAAATGACCCCAGAAGTGGTTTATTTTTGCTAAATCTCTCTAAAAAGGTCAAATGTCACTTGTTTTGCATCAATCTTGATACAGGGTACTTATTATATATTGTACTTTGGATTCCTAAAGCTTTTAGTCTACCTTACCATCATCCAAGGGTAGTTTTCACTATAAGTAAAAAATAATTTTTGGACGGACACTATAATTTACAGTTTTTTACTATGTAAAATCTGAATTTTCTTTAAAATAAAAAACATCTATATTGATTCCGACTTTTCTACATCCAACTCACAGGTTTATCATTACTTTGAGAAAAAAGATTATTAATTTAACCCTTTTAGAAGGGAAGATATGGTCATTTGTTCTGGGAATGTCATTTTCGAGCCTGAGACCTGAAAAACAGGCTCAGGGTTTAACAGGTTAAAGGAGAATGTGGGGCAGCAGCTGCTGACCAGAAAAGCCGGTCAGGGGCAGTAGGGTGGAATGGTGTTGTTGGACGACAGTGCGCCCTATACATCAGGGCTCCACCCACTGTACCCATAGAGTCCAGTAGAGGGCGGAGCCTGTGAGAGATATAACGGGGGGTTACGTATTGTAACCCTAGTTATATAAGCACAGGCGGAGCCCTCTACTCAGGGCACTGTCAGTCCTATTCCGCTCGCTGAAGAGAGGTATAGGATGATAGTCAGGAGGCGAGGCCTCCTTTTATACGGTGTGATGCTCGCGCATTCAGGCAGGCCCGCCCTGGGCCGGCTACGTCTATAGAAGTCTCAGTGGGAGAATGCACGCAGGATAAGGTAGTACCCATAGAGTCCAGTAGAGGGCTCCGGCTGTGCTTATATAACTAGGGTTACAATACGTAACCCCCCGTTTTGAGTACTTGCATCCACTTTTGGACTATGTATTAATATATTTAATTATCTGCAGCACTATTTAGGTATTATATCCACATAGCTATTATTATTATTAATCAAAAACCTTAATGTGTAAATATATTTGATTTTGTCCACATAGCCCAGCCCTAATCCATTCTAGTAAGTTTCATCATTTTGTGTTTGTGTGAAATTGTTTCTGTTGTTTTCAGGACGGGCAGTATGAGTTGAACAGCCAGCCAACCGGCCTCTGCGTGATCATAAACAACGCACATTTTTTGGATGGTGACGTGAGAAATGGAACCGATATAGATGCGGGTATGTTACTGAGTTGACAGATTAATATTATCATCCCGGTTTTGCCTGTTGAAGCTTAACTAGGTTTTATTTCCCTGCAGAAAGCTTGGCAAAGGTGTTCAGCTGGCTGGGGTTCAGAGTGCTGATGTGTAAAGACCAAACCAAGGACCAGATGGTGCGAGCGCTGGTATGCTTTGCTTCTCAGTGCGACCGTTCTCAGCTGCAGGAGCTCAATGTCAAGGAATGGACTCGCAAGGCAAGGCAAGGCAAGGCAAGTTTATTTATATACCACTTTTCTGTACGTGACAATTCAAAGTGCTTTACAAAACAAATTAAAATACTTTTTATGAATAAATACAGTAAAAACACATTATATAATGGCATTTTACAACAGGCATTACAAAGCAAAGATAATAAAATAATAAAAATAAACACCACAGGTATACAATACATGTTTAAAAGGCAGCGGATTCACCGATCTTCTAGAGGCTCCTCAGCATGGCGATGCCTTCATCTGCTGTGTTCTCAGTCATGGAAACAAGGGCAACGTATCGGGGATTATTGGGCAGCTCCTCCCTATCGAACAAATAAGGAAAACCTTCATGGCAACTCAATCTCCCCTCACTGACAAGCCCAAAGTGTTCCTGGTCCAGGCCTGCCAGGGACCTGGGGTGTTATTAAAAGATCTGCTAGCTGATGACTCTCACTCGACATCCATCCCTCAGGAAGCAGATTTTCTTTTTCATTATGCCACTGTTGAAGGTCATAATGCTTTAAGAAGCCCAACGAAGGGGAGCGGGTTCATCCAATCTGTCTGTAAGCAGCTAAAAGTGGGCTGTGAAAGGTAAATGTCTAACTCAACATTAATGATATAGTTATTGAAATATCCGAAAGATTTTGTAGATCTAAATCTGATGATAAAATCGTTAACATGTATATTTTACCCTTGACTTAATGTGACCATCATGTGATAACATGTTTTTCTACCCCTCATATTTTTTTAGCAATGAAGAAATTGAAGTCATACTCCGCCGCGTGAACAATGAAGTAGCCGGGAAAGATTGTCCAGTAAAGCAGATGCCCGAAATTAGGCATACCCTGAGGAAGGGTCTTGTGTTGACTCCACATCCCAACTCAGGTAGGGTTATTTTTTTTAAATGCATTCTATCTTTTTTATTATTCTTAATCTCTCTATTTTTCTAATCATCACTTTGAATAATTGTATTTTATATAGTCACAGATTTTGGTTGCAGAATAAATCTGTCTTTATACCCAAAGAATGATGACCACTGGTTGGTCCATGTTTTGGTAACGGGGGGTAGGGGGGGTGCACATAAGATTTCTCAAGTTATTATTTTTCACTGGAACTTTGGAGCCCTAAATGCTGGACTCTGGTGACATTTGCACACCTAAAAATAGGATAATAATGATAAACAATATTTTTACTCCATCCTCAACACAAGTATGCATAAAAGTGTTCATAAAGTCACCTTTAAAACAAAAATCTATTTACTATTATGTCTTAGGTAAATAAATTCAAACATGACCAGTAGCCTACAAAACTAGTACATTTATATGAAAAAAACAAAAACGTTAAGTAACTGAGTGATGAGTTGAAAATCAATTACCGTTATTTTTAAAGTTTCCTGGACACATGGAGGATTTTAGAACGGATCCAACCAACACATGGATGAATAGGCGGTCTCCTAGGGCGCCAGATCTGGGGGGGAAAAAAACCTTTTTTACTGTTGCCGCTCATCCTAATTTTCGGCCTTGATGCAACAATATTCATAATTAAGTAAATGTAACACCCTTTTCACCCCGGTTACACTTTTCATTTGCCCTGTACGATGGGCACATTTTTACTGCAACTGATTCTAAAGTTTTGTTTCCCAAAGTGTATGTTATGTGTGATGAAGATATACTTAATACTTTCTATAAACCGCCGTTACAGTACGTGCATCGCCGCAGGATTTCCCGCCCCGTGTAGAATGTGTTTTCAGGATCAATAAAGGAAATCCAACATTCAGAGTTAATTTATAAATAGACTGACTAAATCCTGTGTCTACAGGGGCTGCTTACAAATAGGGAAACTAGTGTGTACAAACAAAGATTGGGGTGCAATACAGTTTTATTTCAATTTGAAAAAATAAAACTACTTTTAAATACAAGGTGACGCCCATTGGAAACAGTAAAGTAAAGATCATTTTCTTAGCCTATTCAATTAATAATATTCATTATTTAAAGGAAAATTGCAAATGTATATTCTTCATAAAGATCATGTCAAACAAGTAGCCTTCCATATTCCTCGGGTCCTTCAGGTAGCTCTCACTGTCAACAAGGTTGGGGTCCCCTGCTCTAGCGACTGAACAAAATGTGTTGAAACTGCTAGAAGTGAGTCATAATATTATTATTATTCACTGAAAATAAGTGTAAATGTCAAGTTTCAATGCATTTGTAATAAGGGTGAATTTTTATTTAGGAGCATTTGGGTGAAATATGATTACAAAGGGTTTAATACAAGAAATGTAGGCGAATTATCACAGATGAGTGATGGGGGGGGGGGTTGAATCTGTTTTGTTTCCCTACAGGTGAAATCATGACAGATTTACTGGAGAAAATAAAGGGGGAACACCAGGATGTTGCTAAAGTTCTGCAAGGTAAGTGGCCATTTTGAAGAAGTGACTATTGAAAATAAACCATTAGCATAGTTATAGTACTATATTTCAGTTTTAAAAGCATAGATAAAACAAACCGTGTTGTTTCAGAGGCAGGTTTACGCAGCAACTCTGACATCCGGTCACTGACTCGAGAAGAACTGCTCGAGCTGTTTCCTGGACTAAAGAACTTCAAACTGAGAAGGAGGATCTTTGAAATGATACAAAATCAGGTGAGCATTATTTTGTTAAATAACAACATGGTGATGTTTTGTAAATGATTACATGTCTTATTTAGCACAGACTATGATCCTATCCGTGACATATGGATCTTAACAAAGATCCGCTATACATTAGTACCAGACATACTGTACATCCAGTTTACTGTATCGAAGTTGATTTCACATGAGCTCCAGTGTGGAACCCCACTGCACCCCCTGGTGGATCAATGATCCATTGCAGCTGGCTTCACAATAATTAAATTTATTTATCACGGGGGCGGTATCAAGTCAGACTGGGGGCCGGCTCTTCATCACGAACCGATCACGAGCCGATCACGGACCAATCACGACCCAATCACGACCCTCGCGTTTCAAACTGTCTGAAATAAGATGCTCCATCTGTAGCCAGGTTATCAAAATGTTGATGTATTTATTAAGGAATATGCAGTATATTGATATTTATGATTAACCCTTAGATGCACGAGTGACTGGACCCTACACTCTTCCATAAGTGGGTCAAAAAGGACCCGTATTAGAATAATATGTGTTTTATGCCATTTTTGTCATTTTGGTTAAGAAAAATCCCTTGTATAATATTTTGGTTCACACTAGTTTATATTTATTTTTTCACTATTTATAATTTTAGACATTCTTTTTACATTTTGAAAAAAAACGAAATTCCATAGAAAATGCATGCGGGTCATTTTTGACCCACTTATGGAAGCTTGGGGTAGTAATACAAAAACTACAATTTCTTAAAATGTCTAAAATTTAAATTTAAAATTTGAATGGCATGATATCCAAAACATGTTTTTTGAGGAATAGCTGGAATATGAAATGATAAAAAATGTATTTACAAAGATACTCTAAGAAAACCACCTCACCGGGTCAAAAAAGACCCAATTATGCATCTACAGTAAGGGTTAAACAAATAAGCTACATGTTTTGATTATAATTTATAATTTATTAGGATTGCTTTCCACACCAAACCTTACATTAGAGCTTTAATCTCTAATCTCTAACTCCCTAATTATGTCATTTATCCTCCTCTTTTTGTGTCCTCAGGCAATAAACCTGTCATTCTGGTTTTGATGCACCACGCATATGAGGCCAAGTTCATTCCAAATGTGCAACAAGGAGCTAACGTTCAGCTGCAAGTCAACGTTTTCTTCCACGAGACGAAACATGGACTGCTCCACTGTGGAGAAAATGGAGCTGTTGTTTGCGAGATAACAAAATATTTAAAAGAGATCCCCATTCCAAATGCCCAGGTTGTGGCTGCTGGACATTCTGGAAAATGGAAAATGTTCGGACATTCAATTGGCTCAAGCTTTGTTGTTTATTTTATATCAGACAATGATACTACAGATTGTTCAATTATCAATTAAATGTTTTGTTTTGTTATTGCATTCATTTGTAGAGTACTGTATCATGTCTGTATCACCTTTTGTTTCATTTGTATTTTCTTTAGTTTTACACGCTCGAAAAAAATAAATAAACTAAACTAAAATCTGACAATATTCTGTATGGGGGCGTTGTACCTTCAAAGATTAATTTTTCCTCTCAAGTAAAAGTGTAATGGATCACTAACAACACAAGTCAAGCAGTCAAAATGTGATTTATCAGACAGTTTTGATTTGACTCTTCTACCATAATCTGAAAACTTAATTGTATTCTCCTTTTTGAGAAGAGAGGTTGGCTACTAATTTGTAGTCCAATTATTTATATCTGTGTAATATTTCTCCAGTTGCTACTGTGGTTTCTCTACTGTATTGTGACATGAATGTAAAGGAAGTGATTAAAGAGTGCAACAAAGCTTAGTCATTTGCCAAAAGATTACCTTTCGAATACATACATCCGCCAGAAATGTAATTATTGCTGCAAATATTAGAATAAAATGAGCAGCACAGTATATTTGGTTTTCATGCATGAATGTACATTTTTGCTGCAATTAATTCTAAAGATTTGTTTCCCAGAGTTTATGTTATGTGTGATGACGATATACTTAATACTTTCTATAAACTGCCGTTACAGCAGGTGCAATCACTTTGTCTGAAGTCCTTTTTTAGATATAGGTTATATGACATCCATCATGAAGCTGGAACATGTATCTTTTTGACATAAATAGTTCAAGAATAGTGTTGACCCAAATGAATAATACACTGATAATTAAAAAAACCTATAGGAATCTAACAAACGTTATGATACGGTTTTTGGATTAATTTACATTCTTTGTATCTTAAATGTAACCTCATTGTTGTGGCAGGGAAATTGAATCGCAATCAGTTTTAGAGGTAAGTTTTATTTAAACTATCGAAGCTTATTTAAGCTTTTATATATTTTATATGGATATTCACGTGGTTGGTGGTAAAATGCAGCCATCAAAACTGAGCATCCAATAATGTAAGTCACATGCAGAGGAGCAGTCATGAAATAAAAATGTCAAATAAATTCTTGGATTCTAAGGCTTTTGTTCATGAAATGAGAATTGTTTTATTTCTGTTGATGTAGCCTAATACATGCTCACAACTGAACATCCGATACTATCATCTTAGAGTTAAACACATACTGATATTTTGTGAGTAGTATAAGGAAGACTCCAATGAAATGCCAGCTTCTTTAACTTGCAATTGTTAGACCATCAACTAATAAAAAAACGTTTTTGTTATTCAAGTATATTTATATACAAGTCAACAAGGAGGAATACATTAGGGGTTTATTGAGCTAAATCAACGCAAAGTGATAACAGCTTTATTGTCTTTTAAAAAAAGCTTATTCAATTGTGGTTTTAATATTTACCTTTCAAAGAATCTGATCTATTTTAAGTTTTAGATACAGAGACCATCAACTGCTTTTATTTCCTCACACTTTTACAATTTCGCTTGTCTCAAACAAAAACCTTTCCATTACCACACCATTGTTTTAGCCTCAAACAAACGTGTTAAAGATGGTGAACTATGCCTGTGCAGTCTTCTTCTGAAGAGGATAATGTAAAGCTAAACTTACCATAACATGTTGTTTGTGTCTCTACCTCTGAGTTTAGCTGTACCAACCTGCAGGTGAACAGATTAGGCTACTGTAAAACGTTGAGTTGAACGAGATATCGACAGCTCAGCAAACAATGTGAACACAAATCACCACAGACTCAAAACTATTATGTTATTATTAGCGGTGGCGGTTCTAGACCAATTTTACAGGGGGAGGGGTGGTAGTTATTCTTATGAGAGGGGCACAATAAACGCGGGTTAAAAAAGACAAAGACAGTTTAAAGTAATTGCGTAAAATAAATATGAAATTGGTATTTGTTCTGTACAGGTATTTATTACAGTAACTTTAAGTTACAGTTCTTTGTTTCAGTAGTACTTTTTTATATTTACAGTACTTGTTTAAGTTACTAAGTTACAATTAAATTAAATGACATAAACAGTATTTGCTGCAACACTGAATATAAGGCACTGAACAGTTTAATCTCTACTGTACATCCGGGTCTCTGCATCCCAGGCTGAGGGTTTCTCTTCTTTCAGATTACAGCAACAATATCCTGCGGTTTTGGGATTTTTAGTCTGTCAACGTCTAGGCTTGAATGTGACTTGAATTAAAAAGGGAACAGCCGCTGGTCGGAGATGACAAGTGTTGTTTTTTTTTCCTGCATGCACTGGCCCCTGTTGCCCCCCCCCAGCAAAACAGCATTTGTAAACTATGCTATTCGTAATCCCACAGCCTAAAGTATAAGAGGACACCTTTTTGATACTACATTTCTTGGTTTCTTATTTTTTAAGGTCACACAATATGCTAAATTAAAACACATCTTACCGATATTTATTTTATCTTGTATTTATTTGTATTACATTTGAAATTGAAGTTATCCAAAAGTAACATAAAGTAATCAGGTTACATTACTTTTATACTGTGATACTCAGATTTCTTTATATATTACTTTTAATATGACTTTTTTTTTTTTTTTTTACAGTTAACTAGTAATTGTAACGCATTACATTTTTAAAGTTATCCTTCCAACCCTAGCCACCACATAGCAAACAAAATGATCTCCTCTCTCTGTAGATATAGATGCCAGAACATTATAATACACTGAGGGCCGCATACAGAAAAACGTAGGAACGGCTGGGCCCCTCAGGTGAGGTATATTGCCTAATAAGTTAAGTTATAAATGTAGGTCAATTATGCTTGATACATGAATACGCTTTAAGAAAACAAACAGCATTCACAGATTTCCATAGGGTTTAATTTATGTTGTTATAAAAATGGTTGGCAACTCATTTCTTAAAGTTCAACATAAGTCAAGCACAAGTTGGGGCCATATTTCATTATACTTTTAGAATTTGCTGATGACCATTTCAAAATGGACAATGGGCCGCAGTTGGCCCATTGGCCCCATAGTTTGGACAGAGAGTAATGCGTAAAAAATGTCAACAATGGGTTTCAGAGGGCGGGACTTCAGATGTGTCAATCACGCTGCTCCAGCGACCAATCACAGTTTGAGGCTCCTTGTAAGTAAACATCGTTTATCTTTAACTTTCACTTTCGGCTCAGCGCTGACGGAGGGTATTGTATGCGAACTACGAAGGTAGATTGGAAATACTTTCTAGAATATTCTATTGTTTTAGTTGATTGATTGACGGATAACGTTATCTACATCTTTTAATAATTTACCAAATAATTGAAATCAAGCACATATCGTGTGCTTCGATCACATCAGAGATTACTTTCGTTTTCCTCTCACAATCTTCGTCTTTCGAGTTGAGCTTGTCAACACTTCAGGTAGCTTTGTATGACTTCAGTATTTACATTGGAATCCATGTGTTGAATCTGCCTGTCTGTTTTGTTTCCCTACAGGTGAAATCATGTCAGATTTACTGGAGAAAATAAAGGAGGAACACCGGGATGTTGCTAAAGTTCTGCAAGGTAAGTGGCCATCTTTATAGAGGGTGACTATTGAAAATAAACCATTAGCATAGTTATAGTACTATGTTTCAGTTTTAAAAGCATAGATAAAACAAACCGTGTTGTTTCAGAGGCAGATTTATGCACCGACTCTGACATCCGGTCACTGACTGGAGCAGAACTGCATCAGCTGTTTCCTGAACAAAAGGACCTCAGCTTTGAAATAATACACAAACAGGTGAGCTGAACAAAATTGTTACATTTTATTAAAGATGACAAAGATTAAAACGAATCACTAAATCATTATTTATTTTGAATAATATATTTTCTTATGTCTTAAGTCTGTTGGTCAGCTTCTAAGAGAAATGAAAGACATCTCAGGTGATTTCAAGGGTATGTGCAGCCTTTAACAATACTTTCACTTTCACATTGGCACACACTTGCCATTTTGTTTTGTGTACAATGATAGGAAATATAAGTAACTGTTAATATTGCAATCCAAATCCTTACAAGCACAACCCGATTCCTTCTCAGATGCTCTAACAGACAACGGGGTTTTGGTTGATAACCTCCCTATCCTGAAGGAGATGCAGACCCACATGAAGGATATGCAGAGTTTCCTTGATGGTCACATTTGTTCTCTGGCAAACATCCAGAATCAGCCAAACCAGGAATCAGTCACGAATGTGACGACGCCCCGCGATGATTACTGTCCTGAAGGAGCACACGGTGAATCTCACACTCTTCCACTTGATATCTTCGTACATGTTTCTATGAATCTTTATCAATAAAGACCAAACCACTTTCCTAAGGAGAGTTACACCCTTTCAAAACCACTGTCACTGTCACGGATTCCATGTGTTGAATCTGCCTGTCTGTTTTGTTTCCCTACAGGTGAAGTCATGTCAGATTCACTGCAGAAAATAAAGGAGGAACACCAGGATGTTGCTAAAGTTCTGCAAGGTAAGTGGCCATTTTATAGAGGGTGACTATTGACAATAAACCATTAGCATAGTTATAGTACTATTTTTCAGTTTTAAAGGTCCCATGTCATGGCCATTTCTACTGATCATAATTCCATTGTTGAGGTCTACTAGAATAGATTTACATTGTGCAATTTTCCAAACTCACATTGGTTTCTCATACAGCATCTCTGTATAGTATGTGTATTCACTCTCTGTCCTATAGCCTTGTTGGAGCTCCTGCCCCCCCCTCCCTGTGAGCCCATTGTGCTCTGATTAGTCAGCTCGCCCACTCTGTTCTGATGAGTCCACCACCGTAACAGCGGAACATCAGTGATTATGTGTTACAATGGCGTTTGTTAGCAACCAGAAAATGACACCAGTAATGACAAACGGATGAGAATGCTGCGTGGGGTCTGGGTGCCGTGTTGGCGGGACGTTGCGAGGAGCGGACAGTGTGAGCTGAGTTCATTTCCTGCTTGCTGCGTTGGATCTGCGAGACATCGCGAATGGACGCGGGAAGGGGGGGTTGCTGAGGGGGCTGCAGCACCCCCATCTGCGAGGCTCCACTAGCACCCCCCCCCCCCCCCCCCCCCCCCCCACATACACACACCCCCAAAAGCAGCTCACCAACAGTGTAAGCACGCCACAGTTTCACCGCTGCGAGGCTCCACTAGCACACACACACCCCCCAGCGCGTCACGGTTTCGCCGCTGAGAGAGTGTGTGTGTGTGTGTGAGAAGCTCCACGGATGGGTCCATTTGGATATGAGCACGTCACTGTACCCAGGAAGAAAAAGAGAAATCTCCAACGAGGCGTTCTGGGGCAGCATAGACAGGTCTGTGTTAGAGTTTTACTCGCTACAGGGTGTACTTTGAGGGTTTGTGACTCTGCAGACCGTTTACATGCATAAAAACCTTCATAACACACAAGGGGACGGGTAATAACTGGAAAAGCATGACATGGGACCTTTAAAAGCAGAGATACAATAAACCGTGTTGTTTCAGAGGCAGATTTATGCAGCGACTCAGACATCCGGTCACTGACATCCAAACTGAGGAGGGGGATCTTTGAAATGATACAAAATCAGGTGAGCTTTCAAACTAAAATGTGAGATTTAATAGAGGCTACATAGAAACTAGGCCTTAATTAAGTCATTCAATATTTCTGTTATATAACATTTTTGTTTCAGAAGCCCGTTAAACAGCCCCCCCCCACAGGGGTGAATAACGGCATCCCTTCCAGGGGTATGTACAGCCTACACAGGCGTCCGCAGCTCATAGCCAAAGTGGGCGTGGGAGCGAGCGAGAGAGATAAATGCAATTTATGTAAACAAATTATTTCCAATGCACACTTTTATAATTATTGGGATGAACAGGTTTGAAATCATTTCAATGTATACTATAGGACAGTAAACCAAAAATATAGTTTAAAACTGGAGAGATAAAAAAATATGCATAAATAAATGTTAACTCGGTAAAATAAGATATGAATGAACAACAAAAATAAAATAAGTTACATTTATTTTGTATTGGCTATGATAGGTTATTGGTTATGTTCACATACTTATTTGGTTATTAAAATGTAAACCGATCTTTTTCATATGGGTGTTTAGAGTTGTACCCCCTACATCTAATCAATAGTAATTGTGTGCTTAAAGTGCACCAGATTGAAGAATTTTACTTTAAAATGTTCAACATTTCTTCCCGGGGGTGCATACTCCCGGACCCCCCCTAGAGGATGTGATGTACACCCCCCTATTAAAACATGTTCATACAATACTGAATACATTTGAAGCCTTTTTGATGTATATTACCTATGTCAATAAGTTTCTGTTTTTGTAGTGTATTGGTCTTTTGTAGAGATTTTTCGTTTATTCTTTATATATTCTGTTGTGTATTCCTTGGATACTTTTATCTTTTTCTATTCTACGATTTTCTGGCAGGGGGGGGGGCCAGCTAAAATCTCGCCTAGGGCAGCAAATTGGTCAGAACCGGCCCCGCAAATGACTAATACGCATGCCAAATGTGTGTTACTGTGAAGTTGACATTTTAAAATGTTACGTTTGTAAAGTATCCTTCTGTTTCCCTCTTATTCCCGCAGATAATCAGCCACAAATGCGAAAGGAGGTGAGATAACCTAATATTGAAAAAGCACACTTATTAGGCGCATTCACACCGCAGTACTTTTCCCACAAAGGTTCATCAGAACTTAGTTCATGAGAACTCTTTAGTTCTCATGAACTAAGTACCGATCGCGTTCACACCGGAATAAGTTCCTGGGGAAGGATTAGGCAAATGAAGCCGCTGACGTCACTTCTTCTTCTTCTGCTTTGGGTTTACTGGCAGGCCGCAAACAACTTCACGGCGTATACTGCCACCCGAAGTCCCCGGCCGGAAGTCCCCGGAGTTGGGGACTGGCTTCAGTAGAAGCTGCTGGGACTCCCAGCAGCTTCTACTGAAGCCTTCCGAGTAAATCGCCAGAACGCCGACACCTCCTCATCTCCACCGCTCCCATGTTTTCTTTTGTGTTGTCATAAGTTAGTATCTCAGCGTTTGTGCGTTGGGCTAATGCTAATGCTAATAACAGTGGCGAGCCGTGACTTTTATACCTAGGCCCTCTGACCCCCCCCCTCCCTTCCCTCGAAAAAAAAAAAGAAGAGTTATTACGTCACAGCGTATACTTCAGCGGAATATCAAAACAGCGGCCCGGGGTGCAAAACGCATCAATGACAGCGACCCTCTATCACACAAAACAACACCATTTATATAAACACCTATCATGACAGGGCACCCACAGCCAAGTCACAATTACAAATGAATTGCGTCGGCACAGCGGCCCACATTGAAAATGACTTAGGCTTACCTTTGATGATCAAATCACTTAAACACAAAGTCCATCCTCCTGTCCTTTTGGATGAAGCACTTGATGGCGGGGTCATGCAGCTGATCCTTTGCCACTCCAATGTATCATTGTAACTCAATCTTGAAAATGGCTCGGTTAATAATTTCGCAACGATGTCATCACTATCACTGAAGTGAGCCATCATGAACAAACTTATGCTAATCATAAATCTATCGATCATAAATCTATCGATTAGATTTATGATTAGAAAATAATAAAAGTAGGGTAGACATGTGGATATTATCCGACTGAACAAAACATGCATTTATCTAACAGGTTCGTTCCACAGACCTTATTTCGAACTATTTTCCAAAATCCTATGGAGAAATCCCATTGCTTTTCTGTCGAGGGAACCCGAGCGCAGCTTACTTCCGGGTTTTAGGACGCGTCACTCCACCACATGTATAAACCTCACAGCAGGCGGAACTTGTCATAAAGTCCGCAAAAATAAAGCCCACCCATTTAGAGGGAAGATATGATTGGTCAATTGTACTGTCATTTGACATTACTCTCTCATTGAGTTACTATAGCTGGCCCTCTGTGAATGTACAGAGGGACCAACAAGCTCTCCCGTCTTCACAGTAACTCGCAGAGACGGCATTTAACCCTTCACATTCCAACAGTAACGGGCCGTCTCCACGGCAGCGTTAAAAAAATCTTGGAGGTGGGCGTATCTGAGGCTTGGGGATTTTTTTGCGATCAACCAATCACATGAATCTCCCGCCCGCGACATATGAAGCCAAAAAGCCCGAAGTAAACTGGATATAAACTCCCCAAAACAGGCGAAAACATACCACTGTCTCTGCCACCTCCCTCCATGCCTGGCTCCTCCGGTTTATATCCCGGTAGGTCTGGTCATAAAGCACCGGGTGATTGATTCGCTACCGCTAATTTCTCCTCCATGTTTTGGAATATGAGGAAATGACCTGCGGTCTGTCTCTCCCAGCATACACGCCGTTTGATTGGCTAGAGCTTGAACTGTCAGATTTGCGTACACGGGATTTGATTGGCTGACGCTTCCTCCTCAGCTTCAAAAGTTGAACATTGTTCAACTTTGGATCTTGAAAATCCTGAGAATCTCCGCTCGCCTGCCCACAATGCATTTCGGCGAAAGCGAAAAAAAGTGACGTCACCCCATTCAAAGTGAATGGGCAGAAGCGTTTCAAGATTTTTTAACGCTGCCGTGGAGACGGCCCGTAACTGAACAGGCAGATTCGAAGGATTTATTTATTTGGAAATGTTATTTTAAATACAATTAAATCAAGTTATTTCGGTAAAACTAATGAAAAATGTAACAACAACAAAATATAAAAAATAATATTTAAAAGAAAATGTTTTTTTTTTTAATGTTTTCAAATATTATTTTTTAGAATATCTTAAGCCCTCACAGAGGGCCTAGAGGGCCCTGACGGCTCGCCACTGGCTAATAATGCTAATGCGAGGATAATAAAATGGCGGCTTTACAAAACTTTTTGGGAGTTTTACGGGGCGTGGTTTGCATTCCGCCCAGCCAATCAGAAATAGGAACCTTTTTCTCCCACGAAAGTACCTGCTCTCTAGCAGGGACGGAAAAGGGGGTAAAAAAGGTTCTGATGAACACATTTTAGTTCCAGCTCTTTTTGGTGTGAACTATATCGGAACTAAAGTGGGAAAAGTACTGCGGTGTGAACACGCCTAATGTTAAAATGCATGCGTCAGGGTTTTTAGTTAGCCTTTGTAAAAAAGACACAAAACATACTTATTATCCTATTAACATCTAGAATAGTAGCATTGTAATACTGTTAGGGTAAGATTCAAACTAGTTAAGAATAGTAAAGGTAAAAAGTAAAATTAAAATGGGACTAGATATCTTCTTACATTTCTGACATGGTAATATTGTGTAAGTGTCTGTCGTAGCAACTTAAAATCAGCTGCTGTCTAGAGTAAAAGATGAGGCAAATATGCAATGAAACATAATATTGATATAAAGTATTTTGAGATCTTCATTTTAATGCTTGCAAGCATGACACCTCCAGGACAGAGAGTGCCCTGTTATGTTCTGTTACAGCCACTCTTAGGTGCTTGCCCCACGGGAACGCATACGGCAAAACGCATAGGATTAACGCAATCGCAATCGCAAAAAAACTTCTGTCCACACGCAATATACACCGGATAGTGTCCGTTCACACGAGACAGCTCCGTTTAGCTCCAACCGCTGGAAAAAGCTGCAGTACATATGCCGAGCCTGTACGTGGCGCTGTAACTTCCTCCACAAAAGCAGCGAAGAAGCATGGTCGTCATGGTTGCCCTTCTGTTTATTCACCGTGGTGGGGGCCGAGGGAACCGGGCAGAGTTTTTCGCCGGTCAACGTGTGTAAAAGTTTAAATCTTCCGGACAAAATTATAAAAGTGCCGGTCAAAGGTCTTATTTGTTATTTATTAAGCTTTAAAACAAATGAATAACGACTCTATATAATAATAAAATACACGGAGCCTGTCCTCTCTTTTTCCTCTCTTCTGACAGCGTCAGTGTCTGTCTCATGCAGCAGCTGATCCAGTAATGAGTGACCCGACAGTAAAAATAAACATATTTATAACTAGTGTAGGTAGTTTGAGAGGTAATTAAAATAGCTAAGGGTGATTATCTGACTTGAAGTGTGTGTTTTGCTCCCGCTGCATCACAGCGGGAGGAGCTGCGTGTCTCCGTCCTGTCAGATTAGACTTCACTCGCGTTTATGTCCATATCGAGATAAAGATAAATAATCTGAATTCAGTGTGCAGTTTACTTTTGCGGGGGTGAGCAGCAGAGGTGGGGGGAGGCAGGGCTATTGCGTCATCATTATCACAAAATGATCGTATAGAGGCGATCACACGGAGCCATATGACCCCCCAGAGCGCTCTGTTCCCAGATCTATCCACCTTTGGACCCGTTATCGTTTGCGGGGTCCGTTTCTATCGTGTAGTTACGGCCTCGTGTGGCAAAAAGGGCTATACGCAAGAGAAATATGCGGATACAACTATACCATCCTAAACCCCATGCATAAACAAGAAAACAGCATTAAATTAGAAGTCTCTAATGTAGTGACCACAATGCATGAAAAGCTTTTTTTTTAAAGAACGTTGTAAAATGTGAATTATAAACAAACTGTAATAACACTGCAATGAAACTATTTAGGAGTTGTAGGTCCTCAGCGATCGTGTACAGCTTTTTGGCTTTAGCGATGAGAAGAGACACTGTATACGATGCCTCAGTGCTTTGGATGATGCTGTGGAGGCTTTTCGCATCATCTCTTGCGAGGATCTGTACTCAGCAAGTTTTCTCTTGAAAAACTCCGGTGGCTTACCAACATGACACAGGTGTTTGGTGCTGAGATGTCTCTGGAGGTGCGCTGGTTTCATCGAGCTGTTGGCTAGTTCTCATTCATAACACTTCGTTCGATGTCTCACTATGGGATGCGCCTCCCCGCGTATGCCTCAGAAGCATCAATCTCATTACGCCAATCCTGATTGGCTGGTGATCTTGACGACCACGTCAGGGAATCCACCCACCCTTTAAGTAGCTTGCGCTACGACGCAGCGTCATTCAAACACCTCTTCTCGCTTCGGAGCACATCTCTAAATTATCAGTAGCCTGGCTAGCTTAACTGTCCATAGACTGAACCACTCTAAGCTAACTTTCGGTTGCCGGACGCTTGCCGGCTACACTTGCTTCGCATAGATTAGAATATTAACACACCAGTTAATACTCGATTCTGCCCCGCCGTTTTTTAACGGTAAGGTTTTTGATTATTGAACAGTAACATACCAGTTATTGTTTCGTCCCTCCAAGTCGGCACTCCGGCTATCGAGGATGGACCCTTCTCTCCCTCACACCAGAGGAGACGGAGGCTCTGAGGCTCGACTTTGCGGCTGCGGGTATAAAATATCGAGCACGGACTCACATCAGGTCTGCTCGTCCTGCCTTGGGCTGGAACATGCCCGGAAAGCTATCGACGCCCCCGGTTCGTGCGGACACTGTGCCCGCTTCACCGTCAAGAGCCTCCGCTGACGACTAGCACGCCAAGCTAGCCTGTCGGGACGAGACCCTTTCATGTCTAGCGATATGCCGGCCGGCAACCGAGACATGGGGGAAGCCACCACGGAGGCTGAGCCGTGCGCTGAGGCTGAGACTTGCGCTGAGGCTAGCTGGGGCTCCTAGCTGGACCTCACCGTGGCTCCGCCCGTGGAGGACGTCTTGGAGTTGGACTATATGGAGGATGACGACGAGGGTACCTCGGAGTTTCTCATATCCGACTCAGACGAGGATGAGGATGATATATTCGTTTCATCCGCTCAGGCTGCCAAGCCTGATGCTGTGTCTGCCCCTCTGGGCGAAAGCATACCAGCTTCGCCCCGTCTCAGCATGGATTTGCAAGCCGTGTGCCAACGCGCTGCATCCAGGCTGGACATCCCCTGGCCTGAAGTAGTGAAGGAGACCACCAGATCTCGCTACGAAGGGAAGAATTTGCCCCAGGCTGCGAGGATGGCAAGACAGCTTCTCCCAGTTTTTCCGGAGCTGTTGGACGAGGTGTTTGTCTCGTGGAGGGACCACCCGTTCAGCAGTAAGTCCCCGATCCAAGGAGCTTCCTCTCTGGATTTCGAGGGCATGGAGAAACTCGGCTTGCTTCGCATGCCTCCCATGGAGCCGCTAGTTGCAGCCCACCTCCAACCGCGGCTGTCTTCGGCGTCCAATAGGAGCCCCACACTGCCGGCAAAAGCGGATCGTTTTCAGTCAGCAATGACCGAACGGGCTTACAAAGCGGCGGCTTTGTCTGTCAGGGCGCTCAACGTCTCGTCAATGCTGACTGCAGAGCTGTGCGAGGACATGGTGAATAAACCTGAGCCTGCTGTGTGGGACGAGATTACCGCGATCACGGACATTTGCCTCCGCGTGCAGCGCTGTGCAGTCCAAGCCACGGGTAAATCACTTGGGATCATGGAAGTGCAGGAGAGAGCCAGGTGGCTTAACCTGACGAACCTACCAGACAGGGAGAAAGAGGAAATTTTGGACATGCCAATTGTCCCCGAAGGCATATTCGGCACCGCTCTGGCTTCGATGCAGCAGCGGTGTGAGGCCAAAAACAGAGAAGACGAGGCTCTCCAGCTCTGTCTTCCCCAGAAGGTCCAGCCGCCGCCTCCGACGGCCCCGCGACAGACCTTCGCTCAGGCTGCCTCGCGACCCTCCCAATTTAAGATCCCGAAACGGCCAAAGCCACATCCCGCCCCGGTTCAAAACCCGCCCAGGCATGAGGCGAGGACGAACTGGCCAAGGAAGTCCCCAGCCCCGACAGCAGGTGCACCGGCTCAGCCGGCCCAGACTTTCGGTCATCAAGCGAGGAAGAAGAAGAGAGCAGCCTGACAGCCTTCCCTCCTCTCCTCGGTGGAAGAGCTGGAAGTTCCCCATTCTCCAGCTCCACCTGTTTTGCGCTGGACTGTGCTTCCGGAGGCCACCCATGCCCCCGACTCCCCGTCGCCTCGTGTGATGTCCAAACGACATCCGGTTCGCGCCATGAGGAAGGTGGACTTTATGTTGGAGACAGCAGATTCTGCTGCCCGTTTAAGTCACACAAGCACATGTCCACGTTCTTTAATGAAGCATATTTCACTGTCGTTTCCAGGTTTGAAGCCAAGGGCGCAGTCAGAAATAATGATAAGAAAAATAATAAGCTGTCGCCCCCCTCAGCAAGCGGTAACCGAGTCTGTCAATGCAGATCACCTCGCGCATGCGCAGTGTCGGCCGAGGTTGTCAGTCAGGGGTACGATCGTGTTCAGACACTAGAGGGCCCCATAACACAACTAATAAAGGCACAGAGAGCCGACAGCAGGGCAGAGGCTACTTCTCCTCTCACTCTCATGAGCGAGAGGTGGAAAGCCCTCACAAGCTCAGCTTGGGTGTTGAGGACGATATCGCGGGGCTACAGGCTCCAATTCGCTGTCACTCCCCCTCACTTCTCGGGCATTGTGCATTCACAAGCCCGGGGAGAGTCGGCCCGTATTCTAGAGCAGGAGATTTTCTCGCTGTTAGAAAAAAAAAGAGGCCATAACTATAGTGCCCCCCAAATAGTGGCTTTTATTCCAGGTATTTCCTCGTCCCCAAACGGGGAGGGAACGGAATTCGCCCTATCCTGGATTTAAGGGCTCTGAACAAATACCTCAGAAAATACAAGTTCAGGATGCTCACTCACGCACCTCTGCTGCGTCTCATGCGTCAGGGCGATTGGTTCACATCAATCGACCTGAAAGTCGCGTATTTTCACATCCCGATATATTATCCACACAGGAAATATCTGAGGTTCGCTTTTCAAGGTGTCTGTTACGAGTACAGAGTGCTTCCCTTCGGCCTGTCTCTCAGTCCACGGGTGTTTGTACGATGTACGGAGGCAGCAATCGCCCCGTTAAGACAGCACGGCATTCGTCTGGCAACCTATTTAGACGACTGGCTCCTTCTTGTACAGTCGGAGCAGGAGGCTATTACGCAGACGAATATCCTCGTGAAACACCTGCTCGACCTGGGTTTCGTAATAAACACAGAAAAGAGCATGTTGTCCCCAGCTCAGACTGTACTCTTCCTGGGTTTATGCCTAAATTCAGTGTCCTTCACAGCCCGCTTGTCAGCGGAGAGAGTGAAAGCCTTCAGGGCTTGCCTCGCTCATTTCCGGCCACGCAAATATGCTCTCTTCAGATCATGTCTGCGGTTGCTGGGGCTCATGGCGTCAGCCATCCTGGTGGTACAACTGGGCCGCTTACACATGAGGGATTTTTAGCGCTGGGTAGCTGCCCTCAGACTGGCCCCGTGCGTCATGGCGCACGGAGAGTGATGGTCACTGTGGAATGTGTAATGGCACTGCGCCACTGGCTGCACCCGGCTTTCCTAGTACGGGGTGTGCCTATGGGTACTGTCCTATCGCGGAAAGTGGTCACCACAGACGCATGTCTGACGGGCTGGGGAGGTATATATACGAAGGTCGACCTGTGAGGGGTCTCTGGAGCAGAGATCTCCAACGGTCACATATAAACTATCTGGAGCTTTTAGCGGTGTTTCTCACCCTAAAACGCTTTCTGCCTTTTCTCAAAGGACATCATGTCCTCGTGAGGACAGACAACACGACCACAATATCGTATATAAACCGTCAAGGGGGTTTGCGTTCTCTCCAGTTACACATGCTGGCATGCAAACTGATACTATGGAGCTGCGGCCGTCTCCTTTCTCTGAGAGCAACGCACGTACCGGGGGTGATGAACCTCGGAGCGGATCTGTTGTCCAGAGGTGCACCACTATATGCAGATTGGACTCTGCATCCAACAATTGTGAGTCAGTTGTGGATACGTTACGGCCGAGCCGCGGTGGATCTGTTCGCGTCAGAAGAAAACGCTCAGTGTCAGCTGTTCTTTTCAATGCGCTGTCTAGACGCACTGTTAGGCGTGAACGCGCTCGCGCACGCTTGGCCGCCGGTCCTTCTGTACGCGTTCCCACCCCTGGCTCTAATACCTCCGACTCTGGCCAGAGTGAGAGAGCATCGCCACACGCTGATCCTGATAGCTCCGCACTGGCCTGCAATGTATTGGCTGGCGGAGATATATCAGCTGCTGTGCGTGCAGCCGACATACTGTCTCAGGCGGGGGGGACGATTTTTCACCCACATCCGGAACGCTTGGCACTATGGGCCTGGCCGTGAGTGGTATAATTTGAGTACAGTGGGGCTTCCTCAGAAGGTGATAAACACTATTCAGAGTGCAAGGGCTTCCTCCACCAGGTCTCTTTATGACTGTAAGTGGAGGGTGTTTGAGGAGTGGTGCCTCCAAAAGGGACACGTCTCTTTTCAATGTCCTGTCGGTGTGATTTTGTCATTTCTGCAGGACTTGATTGATAAACACAGAGCTTTCTCTATGATTAAAGTGTACCTGGCTGCTATTGCTGCATGCCATGTGGGTTTTGAGGGAAAGACGGCTAGCCAACATCCCTTGGTCTGCCGTTTTATGAAAGGGGCTCGCAGGCTCCTCCCTGTTTCTAGGTCACTGGTGCCCTTATGGGACTTGGCAGTGGTTTTAGATGGGCTCACTCGACCTCCATTTGAACCCCTGGAAGAAGTTGACATGAAACACCTGTCACTGAAGACAGTGTTGTTGCTGGCTATGGCATCCGCCAAGCGAGTCAGCGACATTCATGCGCTCTCTGTACATCCTTCATGCACTCAGTTTCCCCCGGGGCAAGCAAGAGTGTTGCTGAAGCCTAACCCTGCTTTTGTGCACAAGGTGGTTGGCTCATGCACCCCCATTGACCTTGCAGCATTTTCTTTACCGTTATGTTCTTCTGAAGAACAGCGGCCGAATTTGCTGTGTCCAGTTCGTGCCTTGCACATCTATATGGACAGGTCTAAAGAGTCTCATGCAGTGACCAACTCTTTGTATCCTGGGCTAACCCTCATAAGGGCAAGCCCGTTACCAGGCAACGACTCTCCCACTGGATTGTGGAAGCAACAGCTCTGGCTTATACGAGTCAGGGTTTGCAGGCACCAACGGGCCTGCGTGCTCATTCTACTCGTGGCCTAGCTACGTCCTGGGCTTTGTTTAAAGGGGACCTATCATGCAAAATGCACTTTTGTACGTCTTTTATACATGAATATGTGTCCTCGGTGTCAGAAAACACAACCCTCTCTATTTTCCTCCATACGCAAATCTCTAAAAAAGGGGCTGCAACGGATCTGATAAAAACTGATCCAGATTTGAACACTGTCCTGACGTCCGGACGGTGGCGCTACGGCTATTGGGCCAACTCCACCAATCAGGAGGAGACAGACACGGCCATTGCCGTTCGAAAGCGCTGGAGATGCTGTAGTACATATGCCAGGCCAGTAGATGGTGCTGTTCTCACAGAATCTGCCCTTGCAAACACAGAGCTAAAAAATGTCAAATTGAGCAAAATGAGGCATGGCTAAAATGCATGTATAAATATGCCTTATATAGGTATGGTCCTATACTATATTATTCAAATATAGCATGATAGGTCCACTTTAAGGGTGTTTCCATCCAGGACATTTGTGCGGCAGCAAGCTGGTCTTCACTGCTCACTTTTGTCCGTTTTTTACAGATTGGATGTCTCTGCTCCATGTGTGGCCCATGCAGTGCTGGGCCCCGTGTTGGAACAGAGTTCTACCAGTTGAGTACTGATTTTTGGTGATTTTCGAGATAAGCAAGTCTAGCACTACGGGAGTCTCAATATCCCATAGTGAGACATTGACACGAAGTGTTATGAATGAGAACTATAGGTTACTAGCGTAACCCCAGTTCTCAGAGTAACATGAAGTGAGATGTCTCACCAGACAGCCCTTCTTGCTGAGGCGAAGCGAGAAGAGGTGCTTATTTTGAATGACGCTGCGTCGTAGCGCAAGCTACTTAAAGGGTGGGTGGATTCCCTGACGTGGTCGTCAAGATCACCAGCCAATCAGGATTGGCGTAATGAGATTGATGCTTCTGAGGCATACGCGGGGAGGCGCATCCCATAGTGAGACATCTCACTTCATGTTCACTTTCATGTCCACGTTCCCTGCTGTAGTGCTGCTACGTTTTTAACCACGATTCCATTTCAATGTCTATTTGTTATGTAAGGGATATCATGCAGATCAAGATCCCTCCGCTACGCGTCGGGATCCTGATCTGCCTGTCGGGTGTTCTTTTACCCATAATGACCACCTCGCTGCACATTATCCCGCTTATTACATGGCCACATTCTCAACAAAGTAACGATATGACCCCCAATATTAATTGAAATGCTTTTATGGATTTAGAAAATTATTGTATTGATTTAAATTGACATGCATCCGCTAAGAAAAATAGTCCGTTGTTACCGTTTGAAAAACGTAGCAACGGCAGGAAGGCGGAGCTTTTTGATTACAGATTTGAAAACATCGTTGCTTGCTTTAAAAGTAGCACAATTCATTATGTCAAACCTTGGAAAGTATATAGATATCCCTGTCCTAATGCCAAAGTAACTGGCAACTGAATATGTTTTGCTTTGAATATGTCTGGACCGCTGCGTGAAAAGGAGGGTTTCTGCCCGTTACTTCTCTGCTGTTTTCTTGTCGCTCTTGTCTTGTCAGTTCGAAAAGCAAACTGCAGCCAAACTGTATACAGTTAAATCGTACGGACTTCTTTGTGCAGATGTGAGCCTCCTTAACAACGGTCAATAAGTCCTTGACAGCGGTCTGTCTGTTCTGGATTAACAACGTGTCACGTGTTCTGAATTGACCAATCAGAATCGAGTATTCAACTAAGCCATGTAATAAAATCTAATATTGCAACTGGCTTCCCGCTCGGCGTGGTTCCGGGCTAGAGCCTGATTTAGCTCTGGTTCTTCCGGTTTCCACCGCAGCGGAGCCAGCTTTCAGTACCGAAACCCGGTTCTTAGCTGTCCCCACTTGGCTGCCCAGCAATAACCAATACTTCACGCTTACGTCGGAGGGGGGCGAAATTAACCTGAGCAATAACAGTTAATGGCGAGTACGGCAAGTTGTAACAAGCAGTAGCGCAGAGCAAAGTGACTAGAACGTGACCACACACTTATAAAAACAGAGAACAACCAGTTAAGCACCAGAAAAGCACAAGAACGGATCTTGAACCCTTGGTGGTTCTAGGAATATTTTATATAAAATTGTGTTTTCTATTTAACTTATTGTACTATGATTATTTTTGTAATCATGCATGGTATTTTTTTAATTAACCTTTTTTTTTTTTTTTTTATATCTCACGTACCCCCTGCAGTACCCCAACGTACCCCCAGGGGTCCGCGTACCCCCATTTGAGAATCACTGGCTTCGACAACTTCTGAGTCATTATTTCCTGACATCTGAATTTTGTTTCTACGTTGTTATTAAATGTATGATTTCACACCAAGATCAATTATTGAGCAAGTGACAGTGATTTAATGTAAAAAAAAAAACGACATTTCCAAGTCATCATTGGTGACCATCTTGAACATTTCCGCCATCTTTTGAGTGGGATGATTTTTGAGGGGAAAGCGGGCTTTTTCAAAAGAGTAAACTCAAAGGAGTTTGTTTGTTTTGAGTACTTGCATCCACTTTTGGACTATGTATTAATATATTTAATTATCTGCAGCAGGTATTATATCCACATAGCTATTATTATTAATCAAAAACCTTAATGTGTAAATATATTTGATTTTGTCCACATAGCCCAGCCCTAATCCATTCTAGTAAGTTTCATCATTTTGTGTTTGTGTGAAATTGTTTCTGTTGTTTTCAGGACGGGCAGTATGAGTTGAACAGCCAGCCAACCGGCCTCTGCGTGATCATAAACAACGCACATTTTTGGAATGGTGACGTGAGACATGGAACCGATATAGATGCGGGTATGTTACTGAGTTGACAGATTAATATTATCATCCCGGTTTTGCCTGTTGAAGCCTAACTAGGTTTTATTTCCCTGCAGAAAGCTTGGCAGAGGTGTTCAGCTGGCTGGGGTTCAGAGTGCTGATGTGTAAAGACCAAACCAAGGACCATATGGAGCGAGCGCTGGTATGCTTTGCTTCTCAGTGCAACCTTTCTCAGCTGCAGGAGCTCAATGTCAAGGAGTGGACTCACAGCGGATTCACCGATCTTCTAGAGGCTCCTCAGCATGGCGATGCCTTCATCTGCTGTGTTCTCAGTCATGGAAACAAGGGCAACGTATCGGGGATTGATGGGCAGCTCCTCCCTATCAAACAAATAAGGAGAACCTTCATGGCAACTCAATCTCCCCTCATTGCCAAGCCCAAAGTGTTCCTGATCCAGGCCTGCCAGGGGCAGCAGATGCTGGCTGATGACTCTGACTCGACATCCATCCCTGAGGAAGCAGATTTTCTTTTTCATTATGCCACTGTTGAAGATCATAATGCTATAAGAGAAAAATTTAAGGGGAGCTGGTTCATCCAATCTGTCTGTAAGCAGCTAGAAGTGGGCTGTCTGAGGTAAATGTCAAACTCAACATTAATTATATAGTTATTGAAATATCCGAAAGATTTTGTAGATCTAAATCTGATGATAAAATCGTTAACATGTATATTTTACCCTTGACTTTATGTGACCATCATGTGATAACATGTTTTTCTACCCCTCATATTTTTTTAGGAATGAAGAAATTCAAGTCATACTCCGCCGCGTGAACAATGAAGTAGCCGAGAAAGGGCAGATGCCCGAAATTAGGCATACCCTGAGGAAGGGTCTTGTGTTGACTCCACATCGCAACTCAGGTAGGGGGTTTTCTTAAAATGCATTCTATCTTTTGTATTATTCTTAATCTCTCTATTTTTCTAATCATCACTTTGAATAATTGTATTTTATATTGTCACAGATTTTGGTTGCAGAATAAATCTGTCTTTATACCCAAAGAATGATGATCACTGGTTGGTCCATGTTTTGGTAACGGGGGGTAGGGGGGGTGCACATAAGATTTCTCAAGTTATTATTTTTCACTGGAACTTTCTACAAACAGAAGCCCTAAATGCCGGACTCTGGTGACATTTGCACACCTAAAAATAGGATAATAATGATAAATGATATTTTTACTCCATCCTCAACACAAGTATGCATAAAAGTGTTCATAAAGTCACCTTTAAAACAAAAATCTATTTACTATTATGTCTTAGGTAAATAAATTCAAACATGACCAGTAGCCTACAAAACTAGTACATTTATATGAAAAAAAAAAAACCTTAAGTAACTGAGTGATGAGTTGAAAATCAATTACCGTTATTTTTAAAGTTTCCTGGACACATGGAGGATTTTAGAACGGATCCAACCAACACATGGATGAATAGGCGGTCGCCTACAGATGTAGCAGCTTATTTTGGACAGTTTGAAACACGAGGGCCGTGGTCGGCCCGTGATCGGCTCGTGATTTGCCCGCGATAAGAGACAGCCTCCATTCTGACTTGAGACCGCCCCTGTGATAAATAAATGTAATTATTGTGAAGCCAGCTGCAATGGATCATTGATCCACCAGGGGGTGCAGTGGGGTTCCACACTGGAGCTCATGTGAAATCAACTTCGATACAGTACGCTGGATGTACAGTATGTCTGGTACTACTGTATAGCGGATCTTTGTTAAGATCCATATGTCACGGATAGGATCATAGTCTGTGCTAAATAAGAGACATGTAATCATTTACAAAACATCACCATGTTGTTATTTAACAAAATAATGTTGTTTAGTCGGAAAAAACGAACGAGAGGAAATGCAGCCGGCTCTCGATTTTTAATCCTAATTTAATCATCATCTTCACCACGATCATTTATGTTTATGTTTGCCGAATTGACATGAAATCACTGACAAATATGAATATACTGTATTCAACTTCATTAAAACGTTATTAACGTGCCTAAACTCAGTAATTCACTAAAAATATTTATATTTTAATGGAGCCTTGTCAGGCAGGTCAGGATCCCGACGCGTATCCCTGGGTGTTATTTTTCCCCATAATGACCAAGTCGCTGCAAATTATCCCGCTTATTACATGGCCACATTCTCAACAAAGTAACGACATGACTCCCAATATTAATTGAAATGCTTTTCTGGATTTAGAAAATGTTTTTATTGATTTAAAAAATAGTTGTATGTATTGATTTAAATTGACATGCATCCGCTAAGAAAAATAGTCCGTTGTTACCGGTTTTAAACAGTCTGAATGCTGTGTGTTTACACACCTAATGGCCCATCAGCCACAGCTCTCTCCCACCCCCCTGATCTTTCTTCTCCAGCAGTTAAGTTAACTGTAGGTTACTCTGAGTGACAAGCTTACAGTTAGTGAAGTAACATTTTTTTTTTGTGAGTCACGACCTGGCTGTTTCATTCAAACATATCGCTCCAAATGCTACTGTTTCCACTCGGACTTCAATACAGCTACACCATTGTTTGGTTTCCATGGTAGCACGTCTCTTTAGTAGCGCGCACTCCTTTCCTGTAAATTACAGGTCCAGCCAGGCAAAACAGTGCACTTCTCTTTCCCGCACTACTGTGACAGACCATGGGGCTGGGTCAGCCACTAACATATTCATATTGCTCTTCTCAAAAAGAGAAATATGAACGTTAGTTTTTAACTGAAATGATCAAATAAAGTCAAAATGTCACAGTGTTTACAAACATTGACCATACCGTTCACCAGCCCCCACCCCCCTGCCTACTGTAGGCCTATGTTGAGTATACTCTTTGTTTAAAACTAATTGGCCATCAGAATGTGTGTGTCCCAACCCCCTCCCTGTGATATCTCTTCTCCAGCAGTCTGTAGGTTTGTGTTCGCATATTTATGCTGTCGCAGTTCCTAAATGACACGTTTACACCTTAAAACGATGTTTAAAACGAAAAGTAAACGTTCAGGGTTTTTATTAATGGTAATGGCAGACTGTGAGTTGTTTAGTGGTAGCTCATATAGTCTTGATTCTTGTGGTTAAACTTTTCGCTCCGTATTTGATGGTAGTGGTGTCGAAATTAATTCGTCACTTCCTTTTCAGTTTTTTTTTTTTTTTAATCTTTTTTTTTTGTTATTATTGTTACGTCCTGTCTGTGTACACGTGCTTTAAAATGTATTGTTTAATTCTACATATTTGTCATATAATAATCAAAATATATGTTTACATAGTCTTTGTCAGCATATTTTTGCCACGTTATGCACCCCTTGCTATCTTACATAATAAAAGTGTCACATTCATGAAACTTGCTCCATTCATTGGTACTAGTCCTACAACTATACCCTAAAACAGTGGTCGCCAACAAGTCACCACAACCACCACAACCAGAGTGTGGTGCGGGTAGATCGCGGACCGTTAAAAAAAAAGTAACAAAAGAAAGAAAAATAAAATAAAAATAATAATGTTTGAAAAATAAGTTTTTAGATGTAAACCTATCATCCACCACCCCGTTTGCAGGTGCCACTTGATTGACGTATATTTTCGACACCTCAATAATATAATACATTAACCGTGCTTTACGTGAACCATATCATGACACAAGAGAGGACGGCAGGACTGCAATTTCCCGTGTTCAGTGAATGCAACAGAGGCATGACACCAGACCAATCAGAGAGTTGCATGGAAATACACGTGTGCTTGTGTCATTCAAGCTTGGCTCTGTGTGTGTGTGGCAATAGCGCATTTAGTGTGAGAGAGAGAGAGAGAGAGGGAGAGGGAGAGAGAGAGAGAGAGGGAGAGAGAGGGAGGGAGAGAGGGAGAGAGAGGGACCGGTGCCAGCGGGGACCGTGATGTTAGCATCTGGTTAGCTAGCTGCACTAACGGACATAAGGAGCTGTTTCCACAACAAGCTGGAGGAGAGTCCTCTCCTCTCAGACTGAGGGGCTCAGGTGAGCTAAAGGACTCTCTGAGTGTTTAGATATAGTTCACTTTAGTCTAAGTTATCTCAGTGGGTCTCAAACGGTTTTGTCACAAATTATTCAAAAGATTATTTCCGCGGCACACCTTCATATGATCATTATAGTTATACAAACAATAAGAGAAAAAATGAAAAACAGGTATGAAATACTATATGGCAGTAAAACAAGAATACAGTTTAAAAGGGGAGTGATTTGTAAAATATACATAAAGAAAAAGAAAATCTGTTTACAGTTCTGTTTCATATGGGTGCTGAGAGAGGTATCCATAGATCTCTTCATGTTGCTCTCAAAGTGCACCAGATTGATGCTTTTAACTTCAATATTAAAAAATATATATTCCCGGCAGTGTTGCCCACATGTAAATGAATGGCATTGCCTATATGCATTTGAAAATAAATAGTACCCCCCTCTGAGTGACTATCTGTTGACTTCACATCTTGTCACAAACCAGGGGACTTTACTTCCTGATCTTTGTAATACAAAATAATTTATCTGTGTACGTGTTTTACTGAACGAGCATACTGTACTGTGATCTGCATGCACTTATCAAACATTTAATTAAAGTAGTGAAAACAAATAGTGAGGGGGTCCAAAATCAGCCAACGTGCTTTGTTTTTAATGTTCATCACTATAATAATGATTACATTAAGTACATTATTCAAAAGTTTACATTAACTTTGGATAATAACACGGGAGAAACGGATCCTCTCTTTTCCTCTCTCCCTCTCTCTCTCTCCTGACAGCCCGTCAGTTTCTCATGCAGCTCGCCAAACAGTGGGCGGAAATAATAATAATATTAATTATTTCACACAAAAAGGTTATGACAATATATGACTATTGACGTACAAATAACACTGTCAATTGTGTAAAATAAGAGGATTAGATTACAACTTGTATTTAGAAATACTCTGTTGTAATTATTGATGCATAAATGTGTTCATCCAATCAATGTGGCATCTGCTATAATGGGGTTAATGTATGATATTACTTAATAATACAATACACTATATAATATATGATATGATAATTACATTTTAATTTGATTCATTTCTTATTTCATAGTTTCTCATCATTATTATGAAAGCACCCATTGTTTTAAATAATGGTCGGAATGTGACCTGTGAGCCTTCTGAATTACCGTGGGATAGCACATTCTAAACTAAAATGTTCAATCAATAAAGTAACATCTTATCTTATCTTATCTTAATAATATCTTCATATTAATAATAATAATAAATCATACAGTATGTGTCCGAAAGGGAGCAGGAGGAAGCAAACACAAAAATATACAAAAAATATACTGCATATTAAAGCAAACGATTGTAAAGGTAAAAGTATGAGCATCAAATCAAGTTTTATTTATATAGCACATTTTTAAACGATTTTTGGTCGAGCCAAAGTGCTGTACATATAATAAAAATACCCTACAGTAAAGACACTTTACAGCAAATACAACAGCACAGTTTGTTCAGAATATCAGTATGAGAAAACGACACCCTCTGTCCTTAGACCCTCACATCGTACAAGGAAAAACTTCCAGAGAAAAACCCACAGTTTAAAGGGGAAAATGGGAGAAACCTCGGGGAGAGCAACAGAGGAGGGATCCCTCTCCCAGGATGGACAGAAGTGCAATAGATGCCGTGTGTAAATCGAAGAGATAATACATTTTACAGCGTAGGTAGACCGCATGACAAATAAAGAAGTGTAATGTAAACATTTACATTATTATTATGATTATTTAATATATAAAGACTATATATTATTGAATTACAAGATTAGATATACTTTATTTGATCTAAAATATTGATGTGTTCAAATGCTCTTCTAAACAAAACTGAAAGTCCATGAAAAGTTGTCTTTCTGTATTTGTGAATGAAGCGCCATCTCCTGGTTAAATCCTGAAATTGAAAATCTGGCAATGCCCTCTTGGAAAATAGTGGGAGGGTTAACATTCCCAGATGCTGGTCTTAGGCAGGTAGCAGGCAGGTAGCAGGCAGGAAGCTGTAAGCTGGAGTCTGAAATAAGCTGCTACATCTGTAGGGCGCCAGATCTGGGGGGGAAAAAAACATTTTTTACTGTTGTCGCTCATCCTAATTTTCGGCCTTGATGCAACAATATTCATAATTAAGTAAATGTAACACCCTTTTCACCCCGGTTACACTTTTCATTTGCCCTGTACGATGGGCACATTTTTACTGCAACTGATTCTAAAGTTTTGTTTCCCAAAGTGTATGTTATGTGTGATGAAGATATACTTAATACTTTCTATAAACCGCCGTTACAGTACGTGCATCGCCGCAGGATTTCCGCCCCGTGTAGAATGTGTTTTCAGGATCAATAAAGGAAATCCAACATTCAGAGTTAATTTATAAATAGACTGACTAAACCCTGTGTCTACAGGGGCTGCTTACAAATAGGGAAACTAGTGTGTACAAACAAAGATTGGGGTGCAATACAGTTTTATTTCTATTTGAAAAAATAAAACTACTTTTAAATACAAGGTGACGCCCATTGGAAACAGTAAAGTAAAGATCATTTTCTTAGCCTATTCAATTCATAATATTCATTATTTAAAGGAAAATTGCAAATGTATATTCTTCATAAAGATCATGTCAAACTAATTTAAACCAAAAAATCATCCTCATTAATTAAGTTATAAATAAGAGTTATTTTACCATTAAAGCCATTTCAGATATTTGACACTAGGGGGAGTTACTTGTCAGAAATGTGTTCTAGGCGGTCTATTTAGTCTAAATTATGTTCCCCTTAATTTTCCCAAAAGTAGAAATGGGTCGGGGTTCTTATGGGTTAAATTAAAGTAATAGTGTTATGTTCTCAGCAATCTGACTGTATCCATCCAAGCTTTACTGGAAGTAGATCGCAAACTTTTGAGTGTGAATGAATCTGACTAATTGATGTTGCTGTTTTTCTCATCAGAAGAGCGCTCCAAGGTTGTGAAGAAACGGAAAGGTGAGTCATAGATGGATAATTAGAAAATCAGCAGTTCAAATATAACACAATGCACATGACTTCAGACTAAGTTAACCCATTTTTTGGAACTGCATAACAAAACATATTATTTTATTCATGTGTTATGTTCTCTCAAGTTATGTAAGTACATGAATCTGTTTCATAGTCACATTCATTTTCCTCTCTACAGGTAAATTGGTGTACCAGATGGTTGTTAGCGGGACAACCTTTGGTGCACATGATCAGCTGATGGGTAAAGTGAAGAAGAACGTTAAGAATCTTGTTCAAAGCAACAGCGACGACTATGACGTCACTATTGTCTTCTGCCCCGTCGTTTCTTGCATGGGGCCAGATGTTGAGTCAGCCCTGAGAGATGTTAAAGGTAAGGGAACATTTGTTTCAGCCGGTTCATACTGAATGGAAATGGCTTATACATTTGAATGAACATATCATTTTTTTGTCCAAGCAAAGTTAGTTTACCAACATGTATACGTGTATATATTTGTATTTAGGATTAAACAAAAAAGCTACATGATTTAATAATAATGTATCTTCTCTTACAGTAGAATTGCTTTCCACATCAAACCTTACATAAAGAGCTTTAATATAAAAATGTCCTTCTTGATTATCTAATTTGTCCTTCTCTCTTTTTGTGTCCTCAGGTGATAAACCTGTCATTCTGGTTTTGATGCACCACGCATATGAGGTCAAGTTCATTCCAAATGTGCAACAAGGAGCTAACGTTCAGCTGCAAGTCAACGTTTTCTTCCACGAGACAAAACATGGACTGCTCCACTGTAGAGAAAATGGAGCTGTTGTTTGCGAGATAACAAAATATTTAAAAGAGATCCCCATTCCAAATGCCCAGGTTGTGGCTGCTGCAGTGGCGGAGCTGGGGGGTGGCTGGGAGTGGCCATCCTGGCCACCCCGTTGGCCACACCAAACACCCTCAAATCAGGTGAGCTTTCAAACTAAAATGTGAGATTTAATAGAGGCTACATAGAAACTAGGCCTTAATTAAGTCATTCAATATTTCTGTAATATAACATTTTTGTTTCAGAAGCCCGTTAAACAGCCCCCCCCCACAGGGGTGAATAACGGCATCCCTTCCAGGGGTATGTACAGCCTTTTAACATCCCTTTCACTTTCACATTTGGCACATACTTGCTATTTTGGTACGGTGAAAAGCCCTGGAAATGCTTGTCACTGAACTTTGAGTTTAGAGTATGTCATCCCAGACTTTGGCCTACTGGGTAAAGGGTAAACATCTGTCCACCTTAGCAAACATATGTGCTCAGTTAATCAAATCTATGTGGTTTATTTTTTTGCCAGTCATTTAATTATGCTATTTCCTTGACATTGTCTTTGACACACGGAAATACCCTATCCATGGTTGGTCTAATGTATAAGTAGAACACTTTGAGCTTATAACCCAAAATGAATGTCCCTTTTGGAGTTGATGTTGAAATGTTTCTTCTTCAAGAATTTTCTCATGTCAATGTTTGTTCATGTTTACAACAGCAGAGTTTTTTCAAATTCTACATGACTGGTAGAAAGTTTGGAATCATTTGTTTTATTGAAAAATCCCCAAAATTATAATTCAGAAACAAATGTATTATTTATATTCAGGGATGCAAACTTGTCACCTTTCGGCGAAATTCGCCGTTTTGAATCCAAAATAGGTCGTTTGTGTGATTCATGTAGATCTGCAATAAAAATATTTTTGGGGTATGGGGGGGGTCTGGGACCCGGAGTAATCTGCGGCCGCGAGCTGTCATGACACGCATGGTGTTCTTTTTTTATATATTATAATGAAGCGCGAGCTGTGTGCTCGAGTCTTCCTGCCTGTCGGCTCTGCTCATGGATGTATAATAAGGCTCTGCTGCTCCGGGATGAGGGTCTAGCTTCAGCAGCTACATTACCTACGGTGCGTTCGTTAATATTAACTGTGCGGTCCGGAGTCACTGTGGCACCGCTGGTGAACAGCTGTTCGAACGGGCCATTCAGGTGTTCAGAGCAGAGCTCCCTGTCGGAGCGGCAGAGCGTGATGTGCACTGAAAAGTTTTTCTGTCGCAATATTATTTAAGGAATCGTTGAGCTAGCTAACTAGCATACATTGTCACTATCTGCTAACGTTAGCTTTAGCCTTCGTTTTCAAATAGTTTTTTTCATAGTCTATAAACGGAGGTGGTATAAGTATAGATCTTGTACTTGAGTAAAAGTAGAAGCACTCAGATCTTGTACTAGAGTAAAAGTAGAAGTACTCAGGTCTTGTACTTGAGTAAAAGTAGAAGTACCAGAGTGTAGGAATACTCTGTTACAGTAAAAGTCCTGCATTCAAAATGTTCCTCAAGTAAAAGTAGAAAAGTATTCTCATCAAAATATAGTTAAAGTAGCAACAGTAAAAGTAGTCATTGTGCAGATTGGTCCATTTCAGAATAATATATATGATATGTTTTATAATGATTGATCATTAAAGTGTTCTCAAAGCTGGTAAAGGTGCAGCTAGTTTGAATGACTTTGTATACTGCAGGGTAGCTTGTGAATTTACTCCAGGTGGAACTAAAGTCTGATTTAACACTTGATTATATTTCACATCATTCATCCACATCTGTGAAGTAACTAAAGCTATTAAATACATGTAGTGGAGTAAAAGTACACTATTTACCTCTGAACTGTAGAGGAGAAGAAGAACAAAGTAGCAAAACATTGAAATACTTAAATAAAGTACAAGTATCTCAAAATTGTACTCAAGTATAGTACTTGAGTTTATGAACTTAGTTACTTTACACCACTGGCTATAAAGATAGAAAGACTAAGCCTTGCACAGAGGCATGAAAATACATTTTCAAAATACTCAACAGTCCTGCCAAAATTATAAACTGACTGCTACACAATTAAAATAAATGCTTTTATACATTTCTATTAGATGTGACTCTAACTGGCGTCTCTGTTATTATTAACTGCTTTAGTTGTTCTGACTGCTAAAATCCTGTTATTCCTCATTTTAAAGCCGATATTCCGTGGGGTTGGGGGGCTCGGATCCTTGTCACCTTTTTCATACCTGATGAGTTTGCATCCCTGTATATTGAAATAGCAAAAGAAAAACAATTAAATGAGTACATCTTCTACAAAGCTGATGGTCTCAGAGTTTACCTGACAAGGGAGATAACTGTTTGTTACCACATTTCCCTCCAAAGACCCTTCGATTTTAAATTGTTTATCAGTTCAGAAGAGCGTATGTGACAGTCAAGTCATTTTTAGCTACAACCGGATATTTGGGGAAATTGTTCCTCGTTGGGTCTACTGTGGTCAAATGAAATAGGGATAAACTGTGATTTGTTTGTCCATAGCATTTTCAGTTCATGTTCACTGATGATGTTATACTGAGTGCTAACCTGTAAGACTAAGCATCTATTTCTGTTGTGAGAAACAGTGTTAGTTCTTCATGGAAAACATGACTTTTTTGGAAACACTTAATAAAAAAAAGGATCTGTGTGTAAAGCATACTCTCTCCAACCTTAGAGTAAAGTAATATAAAGTAGTCCTCTCAGCCATTTCACTGTGTCCAATCAAGTTTTAATGGAAGGAAATCACAAACTTTTGAATGATATTGTGAATGAACCTGACTAATTAATGTTGCTGTTTTTTCTCATCAGAAGAGCGCTCCAAGGTTGTGAATAAACGGAAAGGTGAGTCATAGTTGGATAGTTAGAAACTCAGATGTTCAAATTTGTTTTTACGATTATTTTGGAACTGCATAGCAAAACACATCATTTTATTCTAGAGTAGGTTCTCTCAAGTTATGTTTGTGTATTAATCTCTTTGATATTTACATCCATTTTCCTCCCAACAGCCAAATTGGTGTACCAGATGGTTGTTACCGGAACAACCTTTGGTGCACATGATCAGCTGACGGAGAAAGTGAAGAATGAAGTAAAGAATCAGTTTGATCTTGTTCAAAGCAACAGCAACGACTACGACGTCACTATTGTCTTCTGCCCCATCGTTTCTCGCATGGGGCCAGATGTTGAGTCAGCCATGAGAGATGTTAAAGGTAAGGGAACATTTGTTTCAGCCTGTTCATACTGAATGGAAATGGCTTATACATTTGTATTCACATAAAGGTTCTTTCTTACTTATTTAAGCATAGTCAGGTTATCAAAATATTGATGTATTTATTAAGGAATATGCAGTATATTGATATTTATGATTAACCCTTAGATGCACGAATGACTGGACCCTACACTCTTCCATAAGTGGGTCAAAAAGGACCCGTATTAGAATAATATGTGTTTTTATGCCATTTTTGTCATTTTGGTTAAGAAAAATCCCTTGTATAATATTTTGTATTATATTTTGGTTCACACTAGAAATATTTTATATTTAATTGTTCACTATTTATAATTTTAGACATTCTTTTTACATTTTGAAAAAAAACGAAATTCCATAGAAAATGCATGCGGGTAATTTTTGACCCACTTATGGAAGCTTGGGGTAGTAATACAAAAACTACAATTTCTTAAAATGTAAATTTAAAATTTGAATGGCATGATATCCAAAACATGTTTTTTGAGGAATAGCTGGAATATGAAATGATAAAAAATGTATTTACAAAGATACTCTAAGAAAACCACCTCACCGGTTCAAAAAAGACCCAATTATGCATCTAAGGGTTAAACAAATAAACTACATGTTTTGATTATAATTTATAATTTCTTAGGATTGCTTTCCACACCAAACCTTACATTAGAGCTTTAATCTCTAATCTCTAACTCCCTAATTATGTCATTTATCCTCCTCTTTTTGTGTCCTCAGGCGATAAACCTGTCATTCTGGTTTTGATGCACCACGCATATGAGACCAAGTTCATTCCAAATGTGCAACAAGGAGCTAACGTTCAGCTGCAAGTCAACGTTTTCTTCCACGAGACGAAACATGGATTACTCAACTGTGGAGAAAATGGAGCTGTTGTTTGCGAGATAACAAAATATTTAAAAGAGATCCCCATTCCAAATGCCCAGGTTGTGGCTGCTGCAGTGGCGGACCCGGGGTGGCTGGCAGTTACAGGGGGGTTATGTTGGGATTTGATATATGGGGTGGGGTGTCTGTTAAAAGGTGTGACGGTGGGGGGGGGGAGGGGGTGTAGAGAGTTAGACGCTCGTGAATTGTCAACGGGGGGGGGGGGGGGCGTTCTGTGATTCTCCAGAACTCACAGCTGGCCAGCGTCCCGACTCTCCCGACGGCCAATCCGTGCCTCCCCTGCCTCACCTGACTGCACGTCGCTGACACACACCGCTGCAAACTCTCTGCACGGAGGAGCCGCGGAGGAAGAGACACACGTTCACTAAGCCGAAAAAAATATATCCGGTCACAGTGATCTGCTATTTTAAAGTAAATTCAACACATATCGACGCTAAATATAGCATATATTAAGAACGAGAAAGTGTTAACATATATATCGTTTTTTGTAAACATATGACAAATGTGCGAGGGTGATGACATCAGAGCATCGTCCTATGTGCCGGGGCTTAGCCCCGGACAGCCCCGGCCCAATTTAACCCCTGCTGGTGGCCACACCAAACACCCTCACCACGGGGCCCCAAACAATTTTAGAACATTAAGAAAAAAATGTTTAAGTAACCTTTCATCAACCAAGTCAAGCAGTCAAAATATGATTTATCAGACAGTTTTGATTTTACTCTTCTACCATAATCTGAAAACTTAATTGTATTCTCCTTTTTGAGAAGAGAGGTTGGCTACTAATTTGTAGTCCAACTATTTATATCTCTGTGTAATATTTCTCCAGTTGCTACTGTGGTTTCTCTATAACTGTATTATGACATGAATGTAAAGGAAGTGATTAAAGACTGCAACAAAGCTTAGTCATTTGCCAAAAGATTACCTTTCGAATACATACATCCACCAGAAATGTAATTATTTTTTAAAATATTAGAATAAAATGAGCAGCACAGTATATTTGGTTTTCATGCATGAATGTTAATTCTTGCTGCAATTCATTCTAAAGATTTGTTTCCCAGAGTTTATGTGTGAAGACGATATACTTAATACTTTCTATAAACTCGTTACAGCAGGTGCAATCACTTTGTCTGAA